AGAATTTGCACGGCTCAAGCCTCAGAGTACTTTAATGTGCACTGGATCAGTGAATGTAAATACACTCACTTTTTGTTCGTTTGAGTGTCTCAATCATGGCCGTTGAAGGGTCCCAGGCCCATTCAACTATTTTTAGCACTTTGAGCTTGGACGCCCAGAGAAATGCATGGTGGTGTGTGCCGTACTGTCATCCATTCCAATTCTTTCTCGTTTCCATGCTTTTGTATTTACCATATTGTTAGGACTTGATATGTAGCGCACATCTAATAAATTTTTCTAACGTATAAAAGAAAAATTGAGGTATTGCTGATTTTTTTAATAAAATAAAATAAAATAGAGGTTAATTGATTAAGTTGACATGTCTAAATATAATTTACATAACCAGTAAAATTATAATTTGATTCAAAAAATTTAAAATAATATATTTTTTAAGAAATTATATTAAAATAATAATATATTTAATTGATCCGAGCTTACCTTAAATAACTTGTTAAGTCTGTGACTTGGATCATGAGACCATGATAATTTTATATAAAGTAAATCCAAACAAATTAAGAAACTCAGTTCTCAGTCATCCAATGTTAACCTGTCAAACTTATGACCTTGGTTATAAGATTGGAATAACCTCATAGAAAGTAAATAGAAAAATAACATGAGTCAACTCAGGTTAACTTACTAAACCTACGACTAAGATAATGAGACTGTAAGAACCTCATAGAAAGTAAATCAAAACAAATAATAAAGTTTAATTTTCAATAAACTCATTGTTGAAGGTTGAAATTGAAGAAAAAATTCAATCTAAAAAAACAGTAAAAAGACTTAAATATACTCGAGTTAACTTGCAAAACATGTAACTAAGGCATAAGATTGAGATAACCTCAAAAAAAAACAAACCAAAATAAATCAAGAAGCATAATCCATAATCAACTTCATGCTTAATAATGAAATTGAAAAAAAAAACATCAATTAAAAAATATTTTTTAGAAAAAAAACTTGATCAACTAGGTTAACATACCAAACTCATGACCCGAGACATGAGACTATCATAACTTTATAGAAAAAAATCAAAATAAGTCATGAAATGTAATCCCCAATCAACCTTGTCGCACGTGGCCACTCGATGTTGAGAGGAGTCATTGGAGTCGTCACCCAGTTGTTTGATTCAAGGTCATTAGGAAAGCCTGGTGTATTGGTCTTGTTATAGATTTGAAGATAAGGGACTGGTTGTGCCTAATCCCCAATTAACTTCATGCTTAATGATAAAACTGAAAAAATATCAACTATAAAAATACAATAAAAAAAACTCATTACTTGAGTTATGAGACCGAAATAAACTTATAGAAAGAAAATCAAAACCTAATGTTGAATGATGAAATTAAAAAAATAAAATGTCAATTAAAAAAGACAAAAAAAATCAAGTTAATCAAGTTAACCAGTCAAACCCATGATACAGGTTCTAAGACCTAGCTAACCACGTATAAAGAAACCATAATAAATTATGAAGTTGAAAATCTAAGGAACTAAATATTAAAAAATAAAATTAGAGAAAGAAAAATAGATTTAGAAAGAAAAAAAAGACAGGATAAAAAATGCATTATTGAAATGAATAGTACTTTTATAAGGCGGTGCATTTTAAAAACACCACCTCTTTTAGTTTATACTATAATAATTTCTTTTAACAAGTTACTGGATGATTGATTCACGTTATGTCATGAGTTGAATATTTATTTAACATAAAAAACAATTTTTAGGTGTTGTTAATAATTTTTCTAGTTAAAAAATAAAGAGTGTAAGGATTGACCTAATGTGATCTAGTCAACTTAGTGAATCCAAAACAACCAGGATGACAAGTAAAAACATAATTTGGCCAAAAAAGATTCAAAAATATATTCTTTTTAAATATTAAAATAACAACATATTAGATCAATATGGATCAATCAAGTTACTCTGTCAAATTTATGATCTAAGGTATGAGACCATAATAGCCTCATAGATAACAAATTAAAACAAATTATGAATCTTAATTCCTAGGTAACCTAATGTTAAATGATAAAATTAAAAAGAATGTAAATTAAAAAATAAAAAAAAAATACATAAGTCATCCTAGGTTAATACATTAAACTTACGACCTAGGTTATGAGACCGAGATAACCTTATAAAAAGTAGATGAAACAAATTATGAGGTTTGATTCTTAATTAACCTAATATTAAAAAATAAAATAAAAAAATCAATTAAAAAAAGGGATATAAAAAAAATAATTTGAATTAACCTGCCAAACTTGTGACCTAGTCCAAGAAATCAAGATAACCTCCTAGAAAGCAAACCAAAATAAATCATGTAGTGTAATTCCCAATCAATCTAATATTAAAAGATAAAATTAAAAATAAAAGTCAAGTAAGATAAGAAGAAAAAACGAGTTTACCAATTTAACGTATTAAACTTGTAACTTGAATTATGCAATAGAAATAACCTATAAAAAAAAATTTAAAAAACAAAAAAAAGAATTAAATACACACACATATATATTGAAAAACAATTGAAGGATTGATATATAAATAAAATAAAAAAATATAAAAGCATATACAATGTTTTTAACAAATCTTTTAGTTTCTTTTAATTTAATTTAATTGGTTGCAATTATGCCCATCATTAAACTCGCAAATAACATGAGATAAGATTGGCATGCAAATCCTAATAACAGAAAGCTCGAGTTTAATTAATATATCTCTAAACTAAAAAAGAAATATAATATTAATACATACTCATTTATAAGGATCATATGATAAAAAAAAAAAACAAATTACAAGGAGTTATGCTACATTTGACAAGTTTCATCCTTTATAAAGTTACAAATCACTTGCAATGAAACAATTTATAAATAAACCAAAATTTTTATCTCAAACTCCATACATACACATACATAGACTTGTTATATCTCCCATACTTGGTTAACATGTAAATTTTACCAAAAAAGAAAATTTGAATGTACATGCTCCTACTCACTCATACTAGTTAAAAATTATAAATCATTTTTTATGATAAATATTCACTCTAGAAAATCTTTGTCACAAATAACCATAACAACATTTTAAGGTTATGTTTACTTATGAAGAGTTTTTTAATTTTTCATAAAATAAAAAAATACAAAAAATATATTTGCTTATTAAAAATAATTTTTTAATACATTTGTTTCTATCTCTCTAGTTTTATAGAAAACTAAAAGCACTAACCATTTATTTTTCAAATTCTTCATTATAAAAAAAACACAAAGCTTTATTTTATCTATCTAATTTTTTATCTTCATTCCTTTTTCAAAAACATAATAAAAAAATTATATTTTCCTTTTAAAAATTTGTAATTAATAAAAATTCTCACTCTAATGGTCACGAATGCTACATAAAAACCACTCATTTCAAAAATATAGTTGTGGCTGAAGCTGTAGTAGACCTAACCCATCCATAACTCCAATAAGTATCTAGCTCCTATGCTTATTTTGTTACATATGCATAAAGGTGGGTTAAAATGCATACAAATAATTGTTTAGGTTTGATTAAGACTTTAAATGTAAAACCCAAACTTTAGGCCTAAACCTAAATCCAAGTCAATCCAAACACAATCTAAATTAACCTAAGTATTTAAGGAAGAGTTATAAAAGAATTTCTCTCGTCTTTTCTAATTCTTGTAGCCACTGCGACCCTCCCTTCATCAAACCAAAGATTTTAGATTTTGATCTTGAGTTTTTGGTTCAAGAAAGGTAGAAGTAACAAGTAAATGGTTCTCTTTTATATTACTTTTAATTATAGTTTGTTTATGTAATGATTAAAGAAGAAATTAGAGTTTATAAGGATTGAAAGTTTATATTGTTAAGGTTGATTTATGATTATTAAGGGTTTAATGTTAGGTGATTAATTAATATGTTGTTAAAAATAAGAATTTATGAGTTGATTTGTTTAAATTAATTTTTATGGGTTAAGAAATTTATTTGTTTACCTTGCTATAAAATCTAGACAAAATGGTCTTGAGGTTGAAGATGATCAAATTTTATTTTGGTCCTTAATTTATAAAAATTTTAGTTTAATCTCTCAACTTTGAAAAAATTATAATTTGACCCCTAAATATATTTTGAGTTTCTGAACAATGTTATTATGAGGTTAAGGATGATGAATTTCAGTTTGATAATTGATTTGAAATATTTTCAGTTTGGTCTTTTAATTTTGGGAATTTACATTTTAGTTCCTAAACTATATAAAATTTAAAGTTCAGTCCCTAGTTCATTTTAAACAAAATTGAGGATGTTTTATGGGTGAAATTTCAGTATGGTTATGTATTTACTATTTGGCCAAGTTTTGGTAAAATTATATTTTGATCCCTATTTTGGATAATTGTCGTTTTAGTCACTAAATCTAGAAAACTAAACATAGTTTTCTTTTATGCATTGGAATCTTTTATTTGTATTGCTTTGAGTTGCTTTTGAATATATTTTATATATTTATTATATATTCTCCTAACGATCTTCAATATATTTTTCGAGTCTTTCATCCGATATTTTGTTTAATCTATATTTTTTCGGGTGAGTGAAATAATCTTTAATATGCATATATTATAAATAAATATGTATATTGATTATACGATGAGTACAACTAGTTAATTTTTTGAATATTTATATATGTTGCTTTATTTTTCGAGTACTCATTTATTCTTGAATTTGCATTCGTAATCTATCGAACTAAATTCTTTTTGATATAATATACATTTCCTTGATAATTCTATAAATATCTATTATGCATTAATATAGGACTCGTCAGTAACTCTTAGCCTATATGCATATAGTATTCTGTATATATAGCTAGTGAGAGAGGTATTAGCCTATGGCAACTGATCATCCCACGATGGTCACCTTCGGGTGTTATATAGTTACCTTTGGATGTCATTTGATCTCTGATATGTATTCCACTACTTTACAATAATATGTTTAATATGTATATGTATATGTATATCAAGATAAATCGTCTTGCAAACTATTAATATCTAAAATATTTAAAATATATATTAAATGTTATTCTCTCACTGAGTTGATTGAACTCACCCCTCATTCTTGATGTTATTTCAGGTTCTTAGTTTATGTTAGCATATGAACTTGTTGAGTGTTCTTGTTTCTTCAATTTTGGTCGATATGCTTTGTATGTTTTGCAAGACTTTCCTTTTAGTACAGATTTCATATTTTAAAAGCTCCACTATTACCCTGTTTTAATTAAGTTTGAATTTTTGACAATGTAATTAGTATTATGGATTATTGTTTTTATTTTAATTACCAATGAGAAGTTTTTGAACTATCATTTGGTTTCATTATTTTAAATAGTATAATATTTCTAAAAATTATAAAATGCTATGTAATTTTAAATTACTTGTTCTTTTGGTATGTCTGTTTTGAGACTTAGTGTAGTTAGGGTGTCCTTTCGACACCATTCCTGTGTTTCCGGTCATGGACCCGGGATTCGGGTCATGACATTAAGATTCCTGGACTTTACAAATATATAATACTTTAACTTAAGCATCTTTAGGATCAATTTTGGTATTTAGAAATTGGTGTTACTCATCATGTCATCTTTGACTTAATAAATATAAACCTTCCTACTGAAAAATACACTAGTCATGATCAACTTTTTGTTGGTAATGGTAAAGTCTATGTGTTCATAATATTGGTTTATATATCGTTTTCTTCTCTTCTAAATATTTCTTTCTCGATAATGTTCTCCATATTGCTCGTATGAAAAAAAAAGCCTTCTCTTTATTTATTAATTCTCTAAGAATAATTATATTTATTTTTAATTTCATCTTTTATTTTTTTTTGTAAATGATCAATCCTCAATAACCACCCTTCTCAAAGGCAAGAGTAATCATAAACAATACCTATTATAACATTTTTTCAAGGCTTCTTATTCCTTTATAGTCTTTCTTAGTAATCAAACCTTTTTTAATAATTGACATCATTATCTGGGCTATCTTGCATTATATATTATTCATCAAGTTCTCTTCATCCACTATTTAGTTATTTCTAATAATCCTTTAAATAATGTTAATCACCTTTTTCAACTTGGAAAAAGTCATAAATTCTCATTTTATTTATCTAGTTATATTTTATAAGGTCTATTAAATTTGTTAGTTATATATGTATAGGGTTCATTCCCCCAACTATTTTCTAATATAAATTTTTATTATCTTTGTTTTGTTGATGATTATTATAAATACACTTGGTTATTTTCTATTTCTTCAAAATCTAATCTCTCTTATTTTTATCAATTTCAAAAATTATATTGAAAGATTTATTGGGCGTTTTATAAAAGTTGTTTAGTCCTATTAGAGAGTTAAGTTTAGAAAATTACATCATATCCTCACTTCCTATAGTATTTCTCATTGTCTCTCTTGTCCCCACATACACCATTAAAATAGCCTAATTAAACATAAACATAAACATCGAGTGGAAATAAGTTGCATTCTCTTTGTTGCTATATATGTTGCAAACGATATTAGGATAAGGTATTTTCCAATGTTACCTATATTATCAATCAACTATAATCTCTCATGATTAACAATAAGTCCTTTATTAAACTACTTTATAAACAAACTTCAAATTATAATTTAAAAAAAAATATTTGGTCATACTTGTTGGCCTCATATTTAACCTTACAATAAACACAATATGAACTGTTTATAATTTAATTGTGTCTTTTTAGGTTACAGAACAAACTATAAAGATTATAAGTGTTTATATCATTTCACTTGCCAAATTTTTATTTTTTTTATTATTGTCATTTTTTATGAATATGTTTTTTATTTGCTACAATTTCTCTGTAACTTCTTTTACTAACAATGATGCAGGTATGATATTACCACTAATAATTTGATTTCTATAGCCAACATCTTTATTTATAAAATTATGAAGACTCTTAAATGGTCTATATTGCACCTTTTTCAACATCAATTATAGTTTTTGCTACTAATCCAATGCATTTATAAGTGTCTCGAACTTCTATGCAAACTTGAACTCATAATAATATTTTTAAGCCTAAAAGATTTATAGATGGTACTCAAGCTCACCAACTTATTACACTTCTCACCACAACACTAGCTCTCATGGCTTTGATGCTCATAAAGCCCACAACTTTCAACAATATAGTTAAATACTTATAATGACATGCTCTTATATAAAATAGAACATGGACTTTAGTCCTTCTAATTGTTAAAATGAATTTAGTCAATTACAAATAGGTATTTAAAATTAAACATTAAGCCAATAGATCACTTGAGAGATATAAAAACTCATATTTTAACCAAAATGCCCCACCAATCAGAGGGACTTAACTATGGTGAAACTTATAAACCATTTGTCAAACCATTACAATTCATCTTATTTTCTCTATTCCATTTCATTAATTTAGGGTTTTTACAGATTTGATGCTAGCCTTTCTACATGGCATTATTAAATATGATGTCTTCATAAATAAAGCTCTAGGTTTTAAACTTTCTTATTCTCTTGACCATGTCTATCATTTAAATAAATCTTTTTATGGTTTAAAGCAAGCTCAAAAAGCATGGTGCTCTCGATTTAGCCATAAACTACTTGAATTTGGTTTAATAGGCTCTAAATTCGATACTTCTCAATTTATTTATAACCATGGTTAAAGTCCAATTTATATCCTCATATTAGTTGATGACATTATTATAATTCAACCAGATTGGATAATTATTATCTCATTACTCCTCAATATGTCTTTGCATTAAAAGACTTTGAGTTGTTACATTATTGTATTGGATTAAAAACCTATTTTACCACATATAGGTTGTTTACATCCTAACAACGCTATATCTAGTAACTTTTTCAAAAAGTAAACATGCATTATATAAAGCTCATCTCGTCTCCTATGGTATTAATAACTACTTTTTCCCAAAATCATGATGATTCCTTTTCTAATCCTACTATATACAGAAGCATAGTTGGTTCTCTCCAATACATAAGCTTTATTAAACTAGATCTTTCTTGTATAGTTACCAAAGCATATCAATTCAAGCATTGGTCGATTATTGCTCATTAGAATGTTGTCAAGAGAATTTTTTTATATCTTCGACTCACTTCTCATCATAGTTTTCTTCTTATTCAATGGTTCACATCTCATCTCTTCAAGCTTTCTTGGACTTTGATTAGTCTAGTTTTCATGACGATGGTCGTTTCACCACCAGCTATTGCCTTTTTTAGATTAAATCTTATCTCATGGAGCTTTCGCTTGCAAAAGGTTGTCTCTCATTCAAACACCAAAGTAGTTAATATTGGGACATTACTAACACCATTGCTAAGTTATTTTGGGTGTAATTACTCCTCAATGAGCTTGCTCTCAAGTTATATCAAACTCCAACCTTTTGGTGTGACAATATTAGCGTAACATATCTCATAGTTAATCTTTTTTTCACTCACAAACAAAAATATATCTCTATTGATTATCATTTTGTTTGTGATCAATTATCCTCTACATCTTTCCTAGTGAAGTTTCTCTCATCTAATAACCAACTATTAGATGCTTTGACTAAACCTGTTGTTACCTATTTTTAGATTCCCAAAAAAATAAAAAATACATATAAAAAAATATATTCAGAATGAATAATAATAATAATAATAATAATAATAATATGAGTGAGAAAAGGATATTAGAACTGCCATAACATGGCTAGAAATTGGTTGAGGAGGTTCAGAAATACAAGAATTGAAATTTGATATTATACTTTTGACTAATAAGAGCCTTGTTGACAAAGAAAATTCAAGTTGAGGAAGAAAAATCCAAAATAAAATGTTTATGGACTCAATTAAATTTTATTTAAGGTTTAATTGAATTTATGGAGGGTTGGATTGTAAGAAAAATTGATTTTTAAGTCAATTTAGGTTTTTATTGGAAGAAATTAAAGTTCTGAGGTATAATTATAATTTTTAAGAGTTAATTTGTTCAAATCAGGGACTTAATTGCATAAGTATTGAAGTTTGATGACCAATTAGAGACTTAATTGAAACAATCTGAAAACAAGGAGCAAACCAGGAAAGACGCTAAAATTAAGGAATCCAGTTACAGTTTTTCCAGGGGTTTGATTACAAAATTGCAAAAAACTCCAATGTCCATATCAGAAGAAATCCAAACGGTGTTGTTCCATTGAAGCATTATTCACTGTCTTCTTAAACATAACAATTGTGGCACTAAAGGTAGGAGATGTTGGTAGTAATCATGGAACCGTTTTCAATCAGAAGGCATTCCTTGCAGCTGATGTTCCTCACCGTCATGATACAAGCGACTGTTACCAAAAAAACCCTTGCGTCTTCTGGCTATAAAAGCCAGAGGAAGAACCGAACACATAGAGGAGAAGGAGAACGAGGAGAGGGAACGAGATAGAGGAGAAAGAAAACAGAGAAGGTGAAACATAAAAAGAAGAAAAGCAACAAGATAGAGAGCATAATAGAGGGGGAGAAAACAGAAAAGATGAGATAGAGAGGGAAAGAAAAAGAACAGGAGGAAACAAAGAGGGAAAAAGATTAAAAAAATACAAAAAGGAACAGAGAAAAAAGATGACGAGAAAGATATGAAAACAGGGAGAAGCTTATTTTAAAACAGGGGAAGAACTGCTGTCATTCTCAATCACAATCGCACCAGCACTGCCAACGTCATCGTCAGCTTATTATCTTCTTCATCCCAGCAGCCACTGCCATTCTCCATTATAACCGCACCAATGCTGCCAACGCCAAGAACCGCTGAGAGGGGAATACAGGAGAGAAAAACATAAAGAAAAGGGAAGGGAAAGACAAAAAGGAGAAGAATATAGGGGCTTCATCATTTCAAAAAAAAAAGCAAAGAAAAACCAAAAGAAAAAAGACCCAGCATTGATCGTCTTCATCGTCCCCAGAACCAGTCACCACTGATCTTACGCAGTAGTTTCATCGCCATCGTCTTTATATGTTTTAGATACCAGGTAAGCTTCACACATTTTTTTCATGCATTTGTTGTTTTAATTGTCAAGTTTTATTGTTCAAGTGAATTATAATTCACTTGAAAAGTAATTGAGCATACACACCTGAGGAAGCTCACGCGTGCCTCTTATCTGCCCAGCTAGGTCACTAGCTTGGGCTAGTGATCCAGGCTGGATCTAGTAAAAAACATTTCTTCAAAAAAATTATTTAAAAAAATATATGATTTTTCAAAAATCTTACTGTATTTTGATTAATATTAGTTTGTATTTTTATATTGTAAATATATAAATTCAGTATTAAAATACAGGTTTTTGTCAAAACATAACAAAAAAATTGTTTTGTTTTCATGTATACGGTCAAGTCTCTCAAAAATAATAATAATAAAAAATTATATTGTATTTTCATACAATAAAGAGAAATTTCAAAAAAATATATATTAATATGTATTTTAGTTTTAAAAACCAGTTTATTAAAATAGTAAGAATTAGAATAATATTTTAAAATAATAAAATAATATAATTTATCTTAAATAGAACTTATTTAAATGGCTAGTTTGATAATCAGGCATGGTAAGGTTGTTTACGCTCCAGCCATCAGTCCCTGCTGCATCAGTTATGGTTTCATGACAATGGAACCATGAAAGTCGTTACGGTTTCAATTCCCATAGCAACGAACCATGTAAATCCAAAGATGGTAATGGATTTAGAACTGTAGTTATTCCATCCAATTCGATTGCAGTCAACGGTTCAAAATCAAATTTGGTTAATGGTTAAACTTCATCAAAATCTCAAAGAAACGGTGTGCAACAGTGCTAGAGATAAGTGTAACAGCAAGTCAGCAACAATGATAGTATAAGAGATAAATTATATGCAAAATAGAAATACAAAGATCAGCTATTACTTGTATACTCACCATAAAAACACCAGAAAGTCAGCGGGCATGCCAATTGGTTTTTTATTATTTAAGAGCACTAGCTTTAATTTTTGTATATGTAATTGAGTGCAGTGCATTCATCAAGTTTTGCTAAGTATAACATATATATATATATATATATATATATGATAGCGTATTTTCTTAAAAATATAAATTGGTGAAAACAACTTTTTTTAAGTTTTCAATAATTAATATCGGGATAAAAGTATGGGAACCAATCTCTTCATACAAGTGAATTATGTTTTCGGGCCAAGTTTTGAACCGAAAGATTACTAGATCATACTCTCTAAGATGAGTTTAATGACTGCCTTGGTGGAGGGGGGGAAATTTTGAAAAATTAATTTATTTATTTTTTATTATTAATATAGGTGTTTGGATTAGTTTTTATGTATCTTAAAATTAATTTTATAGTCGATTAGTATTTATGTATCTTAAAATTAATTTTATAGTTATAGAATTAATAATTATATAAGTATCTAATAATTCTAAAATTAATAATTTTTAAAAATAAATTTAAAATTTAACAAATTAAATTACATTCCTTAATATTAATGTTGATTTTTTTTTTTAGATTAACGTGGGTGTTCGGGCCAGCTTGCGCGCACCACGATTAATCCCACGGGTCCTGAAGTTAATGACCGACCATGTAAGCTTTCAGTGGCCATCATATGAGCAACCAAGGACTCGAACCTGAGACCATAGAGGGAGCAAACCCCTTGATCTCAAGTTCTTAGCACTTGACTACCATCTAGATGGTTTTAATGTTGATTTTATACTGTCGTGTAGACGCAAATGGATCGATTTTATTTTTCCCAGCGAATCCGAGCTGTGTATGCCGGGCTGAGCTTCCTCCAAACTCTTACAACACAGGAATTTATCGTGCGTTCGTGATCCATTATACACGCCCAAAAGGTTACCCTTCAGAGTGCAAGATGTCGAAAAATGCTTACTGACAGACAAATACAGAAGCCACTTGTCTGCACAACAGCGTGTGCTTCTATGATCTATCAATTGAAATCATTCCGAATGATGAGAATGAAGTCCACGTATCTCTATATTTCAGTTGAATGCTCGAAATGACGCTGATGCCCGTGGAAGCCTTGCTATATTTATACTAGAATTAGCATGCTGTTACAAAAGCCAATTTTTCTTGGATTTTAAAAGTGTGTTTTTTAAAAAAAATTGGAATTAAATTAAATTTTATATTAATATTTTTATATTTTCATAATAAAAATAATTTTTTATACCATCCGGAGAAGAAGAAAAGTCCCATACAGATGGCCATGCGCGGAAGGCAATCCTCCAGCGTAACAACTCACCTTTATAAGGTCGGCCACTATTGATAAAACAAAAACTGGCCATGATTTGGGCCTTTAAAAATATGATTCTTTAGGTTCACGAGGGCTTTTAGGCTGTGAATCTGATCAGCCTGATCGAGTCAACCATCCTTTAAGCACGCGTCCAAGTCTCGTTCTCATTGAGTAAAAATTAAACAAAGGAAACATTTGAAGAATGAGTCTTAATTTGACGGTTTTAAAATATATTTTAGATGTTCCATTTCGAGTTTGGCGTTGTAGGTTTGGGCTTTA